CTGAGAAACCAACAATGGTTCCAGAAAAATCTGTTCAAAAATTCACATTTAAGAAAAATTCTATGTGGATTCCGAAGAAATCATATCTCCCATAAAAACATTCAAGTAGACATATCATTGAGCAAGTGATGAGCCGTAAAGAAAAATATTTTGCCCATAACTGGTATGGTACCAATTGGAAACTCAATAAATTCAGCTGAAAACCATGCAAAGCTCATAATCCCATTCTTTTTCGCGTTCAATGATCTCTTTCAGCCCTCTGCAGGGAATACACTGGTCGGATCCCCGCAGTAAATTCTCCTATATATACGTACATCCATCACAGAACGAAAGAACACTGGTCGGCCGTTTCGGCAAGAGCCGGCCATCGTTCGTCTTTCTTGTCCTCCTTCTTCTTCTTTTGCCGATGTTCTTTCTTGTCGTTCGTCGTTCCCGATCTCAGTGGCAGTTGTGTCTTGGTTGTCCCTTATTGCGGTCGTTTTCTGACACCACGATGATCACGACAGCGACCGCGACGGTGGACCGACACGAGCACTGTCAACGAGCCCCCCACCTCGGTGGCTGTCGCTAAATCGATTCCGACTGTTTACGCGGACGGATTGATCAATTCCACTGATAAAAACTGATAATTCTCGGCATTCCTCATCATATCACGTCGGTCTGGAACCAGAACAAATAGCAACCAATTAGCGGCATGGCTCTTGATATTGATTTCGAGGAAAGGACATTTTTTCAGAATCAGTGAAGCCCCTTAAATCAATACAGTAGGGATTAGCCAAAGAAAACGGTCCTTCTAGCCACGGTAATCGCACAGTAATCTACCGTAATCTTTTAAAGGTTAATTGAGTGATTCTCAAGCAGTTTTGACGTGTTCGTCTGGATACCTCTAAGTACGCTTCCCTCTTCAAAAGTTACGGGTTTCTACCCGAAAATCCCGAAAATGTGTGGGTAAAGTAAGTAGGAAAGTAAACAAACAAGGGGTACTTAAGAAGTCCCCATTGTACCTCGGGTATCCAGAACATGTATAGGTAAGGGAGCCAATGGAAAGGAATGTAAACAAACAAGAAGGAATACCGACCTCCTGTTATTATGATTGAGCTGAAAACCAGTTGTCACTGTCACTCACAATCACTGACACTATTTTTGTTGTCCCTTTTACATATCACTCACCGGGGCTCTTAAAACCTTCAGATTGGCGTTGAATAACAGTTCAGGACCAACTGTTAGGCCAGGTAGGCCCCCGCCTTGATACCAGCCTAGCGAAGCCGGGGTAGAAATATCTGTTAAGTAAGGAGAATACCTGATAATTTATGTGTCTCCGAGCTTCCAATTTGTTAAATCACTCAGTTTTAGGGTCCCTACCAGACCCTGTGACCGTAGAACGCTTGTCTATTACCTACGAAACGGGAAATTATGAAAAACTCCGAACTCTCCAACTGACTAGTGTTTTGTTTCCGTTCTGGGAATGAATATGAGTGGCAAATAGCTTTGATAGATTGCGGTCGGGCGATAGCAGGACGCCGAGAAGCGATTTTTCTCGTCATACGTCGTTTTTGCAAACATTGACCGTTGCTGGTGTCGATGAACTCTGTCGGCCTACATGATTTCTGGGACGACCACGTGCAGCTGCTGATCGAGGTTTCCCCTTTGGTTCTCGATCAGTCATTCAGCTCGTGCTTCGATCAAAAGAACAAAATACATTTACCGGGATCGATTGGCAACGAATTTTCCTACGGAACCAAAGAGTAAAGGTCAGAGTGCACCAAGTAAAAATAAATAAAGGTATAAAAAAAACGGGATCGTGACCAGGACAAGGACAATTTACCGCTAAGTTCCCTTTTTGGGTACTTTTTGTCAATGGCGGTTGGAAGAACAAGTTAGAATTTTCAGTTACACTCCTTCCAGATACTTAGGTAGACCGTTCCCTAATCAAATTACCCCTATCTTCTTCCCCAAGTTTTTGAGAGTTTGAGAGTCTAAGCCTCCGCATTCACACTAAATGGCAACTCAAGAAATATGACTAGTTTTGATTGTTTTCTGACTGCTGTTACTTCGCAACAGTCGGAGATTTCAGCGAAGGGCGAGGGTCGAACTCGCAACTGTACTATCCAGGAATGAATCATCTTATCCATTAGACTACTTGTAGGTAAACATTCAAGTCTTATTCACCATCATCACCAGCCGCTCTACTTGTCATATGGCTAGATTAACAATTTTAAAACTAACTTCGAAATCAAATGGAAGCTTGAAAAAATCTGTTTCAAGCAGCCAGATGCAAGAGACGCAGAAAAATAGCTCTGCTTCTCATGCGCTTAGCCTCGTTCAAACCACAGGTTTACATATAAAAATAACTGTAATGTTAATAATATCTAATACATAATAATACCAGTAAGAATAAAGGTAATAATAATAATGTATGCCGACTGCACCTTACACTTATAATAAAAGTAACTCAACTAGGGTTTTAGCTGCCACGAGCACTCACCCCCACCATGCTCGAAGATTTCCCCTCCTCAACCCTCCCACTTCAGCTCCTCCGATGTTATCATGCAGCTAGATAAATCTATCAGTTTCATTGATTAATTGATTGATAGAATTCTCTTCTTATCCTTACAGTCCCTCTGGAACTAAGCAGCACAAACGTGCTTAAAGTGAGCTTTTAATTAGAAATCAATTTTCTTCAAAAATGACCAACATGATTGATCGCATGCAGAATTCTGAAATCATAAATTTTTGACTGTACTATTACCAAAAAGTGAGTTCCTTTTGCGCCCTTAATGCCCAAGAATCGATATTATATAGGCCATCACCAAAATTTGATTATATTGTTCAGGCTCCCAATCAAATAGCGCAATTGAAACCAATGCAAATATCAGTGCGCTCCCTCCCCCTGTGACGACCCGTCCCAAAGGGCATTTGTGTTTCCAGTGAATTTCAATTCCACTTGCGACGACGACGATGTTTTCATTGGCGTTTCCTGGCTGGCGGACGACGAGCCCATACACAATGTCGGCGGCGCAGCGTGAGCATTAATACTTGACGAAGTGGCCGTCGCCGTCGTCGTCGTCGTCGTCGGAGAGCAGCCGCCACTATAGGGCTAAGCCCATTGCGTGTGTTTGGACGGCGGCGGACACTCCACGCTAACGGGGTTCCCGTTCGTCGACGTTCCTCGTTCCTCTTGGAACCCTCACGAAAAAACTTCATCACTACATCAGTGCTCGGCTCGGGGGCCTCAAGTTGAAGGGTATGATGGCTGTCGTCGCGTCTCAGCTTCCCCTCCCCCCCC